GACCTCTCGAGGTCCCTTCCAGTCCTAGAATCTATGAATCTATGAATCTATAAGGTGGGCTGTAAATCTACAACATACTAGCAAGTCACGCACTAACTGGTCATGTGGACTTTGTTACTGTGCACTAAAAGTTCCCTAGAGTGTGCTGATCTACTCTGCTTTGAAACACTCCAACCTGCCACACACTAAACTAGCCATCTAGACAAGTCCACTGTCTCAAAACCCATTTGTGGTGTATGTATCTAAATAATGGCGATCACTTTTGCTCTGTATTCCACCTTGAAATTTCTGCAAAGCCTGCCTGTCTTATGGGGACATCTGACATTTTGCGAGACAAAGCTGAAACAAAATGTTAACAGAGAGACACCACCCTCATGAAGATTTTCCCTATTTTTGTTCATTCTTGCTTTGGTTGTCACCATTCCCCTAAAAGAAATCAGTCAGGCTGAAAGTGTGTGGTTGCTCTTGTTGTATGAAAAACCTATCTGGAGAGAGGTGGAAACAGTAGAGCCCCACTAAATAAACAGATAATATTTTCTTCTTCAAAACCTCTAAGTGGTGGACTGGTGTAAACCTAGCAAACGCTCTCTGCAGCTGCAGTTTAAACTATGGCAAAACAGTCTGTTCGGTTACCTAAATTCAGACTAGTGGGAGGGTTTTGGTTTTATGATGGGTGCATGTTTGCAGCTTAGAAGTGAGCTATAGCTGAGGTATTTTGGCCTTCAAGCCATTGCTTTTTGTTCACGTTGTAGGCAGAGTTGTGTGGAAAATGTCTGAGGATCCCAAATGCATTAAAATCTTTTAAACTAATCATTAAAAAGCCCTGCTTTCTGAGGTTCTCTTCTACAGCCATTAGGAAATCATGGGAACTAGTGGTATAACTACCTGTAATCATGGCAGCCCACCCCATTTATATTGCAATTTAAAAGATAGGAGCATTCAATGCATTTTGAGCGGCGACAAAGGTTCAGATTTGTATACGTCTCACGACACAGAATGAAGCACTAGGGATATGTCAGACCTGACTTGAAATACTCCAGTGCCATCTAGTGGGGCGCGCCTTGTAGGAAAATACTTTGAAACAATTGCATCCCCCTCAGTTACAGCACCACAATGCCAATTAAAGTCAACTCAGAGGTTTGGCACTGCTGAAAACCAAGATGTTTCCAATTGGACATCCAAAAATCAGTGGATGTTTCTGACTTGCTTGAGTGACTTGCCCAAGTGAGTCACTGGCAGAACCAGAAATAGAACCTGGTTCGCAACTCCATGTGCCCCATATACTGCACCATGCTGCTTCCCAGGAGGGAAACTGCCAGAAATTCATACACAATTAAGACAATAATTGGCTACTATCAAGATTTATAACTATTTAATTGTTTTGCACACCTCAGACTAATCAAACAGATACAAAGCATATAATGTTGTAAGAAACTGTAATTGTACAGTTATGCCAATACAATGCCACAAAATCAGATTCTAAAGATATAAAGCAAACAGCGCTTGGTGAGGAAACCATCAAACAAGTTCATTCCAGCTTTAACTGGGATAGTCTCTAGTAACGCCTTCAAATCAGAAATAAGCTAGGTAAAATAATTAAAGACAAGATTCCATTGAGCAATGCTCCATGTCAACATGAGATAATGTGGGAGAAGTTTCCACTACCGCATGGATGAGGGCTGGGAGGGAGTGGCCTACTTCCCCAGATAGTCCCTGCCCCAGTACACGTCTATCTCAATGGATGGCAGCTGCTAGCACATTGGGAAAATTGTGTGGACACCACTATATTTTCTGTCCTTACCATGAGTTTTAGTCCTAGATTCAAAATTCTCTCAGTCACTGTTCTCAGCCACTAGATGTCACTGTATTACTGGGCAGACCCCCACAGTGAGTCACAAATAAATAAACCAGAAGGAAGGTAGAAAAACAAGAAGTGGTTGAGAGTTTGGTATTCAAAATCCAGGCCAGGAAAAATGTTTTCAAATAAAACTCAGAGTATGTTTTACAGGATTCACACCAAATCCAGATTCTGCATCTTCTTTCAAAGGGGCCTGAATTTCTTCCAGAAGCTTAAGGTCAAAAGCAATTAACATAGAAAATTGTTAACAATCATTTCTATCTAAAATGCTTCTCTGGCCCCAATTACAGTAGTATCTAATCATCTGTCTTTAATATATTTATCCTCACAACAACCCTGTGAGGTAGAAAAGTGCTACTACCCCCTTTCAGCAGATGGGGAACTTTAGGTCCATAGAGATTAAGTGATTTACCAAAATCACCCAGGGAGTCTGTGGCAGAGCAAGGAATTGAAGCCTGGCCCCTAAACACTGAATCAACCTTCCTGCTCTACTTATCTGCCAAGACCCCCAGTTCAGGGTTCTGTCTCCCCTGCTGTGGTAGCTGTTGTCACCAACACATGCTGGTGCACCAAATGCAGCCCTTTGCTCTGCATTAAGGGGTTAGCTATGCCATGACAGAGCAGAAAGACACACAGACTGGAATTTTCAAAATGAGTCCAAGGGAGATGGGTGCCCAACTCCCACTGAGATTCAACGGGAACTGAACTTCTAACTCCTTTAAGCATCTTTGAAATCCCAGCCAGAACCATTAACTGGTCAGGCTTTGACAGGTTGCAGTTTATATGATGCTAAAGGCCTCATTCATTCAGGCTTCCAGGCACGCAAAGTGTAACCAAGTGAAGTAGGGGCAACCTGTGGAACTGCCAACTATGTTACATGGAGCAGTGCATAAAACTGTATGTTTGGGGCCCTTGCTGGGAGAGCTGCTACCCAAAATGCTGCTGATCGGAGACTTTGCAAATAAGTTGTCATTAGGCCTCTTGCCAGCCAAGGAAGAGTAGCACAGTTCTTATAGCCATGACAAAGACTCCTATCAAGCCTCAAAGAAGATAATCCCTGGGATATCCTACTGGAGAGACCAAGATAGCAACTTGGTCTCCATAATATTTCTGATTTACTCCAACAGCTAAACGCCATATTGCTACAAATCTCCACCTGGTTTAACTTCAAAGCCCAAAGGACCACTCACTTTCTGGGCTCTATACTTGTTCATGTTCACTGACTGGGATGAGACTGAATCAAATGCAATACAAAAAATAGAGGCAAACCTCCTCTCTGAACTGGTGTCTCCAGTGATCCAATAATCACTAATGGGAAGAGACATATAAAATCAGATGAGCTAGTGATAATATACAGGTCAAAGACTTTTCACCAAGAAGAAGAAAAGCATGGGCTATCAGGAGGATTCCTCTTACCTGTCATAAGCCTCCTTGAGGTCTCTGGCCAGCTTGCACTTTGGTAGAATGTGATGGAAAGGTGATTGCGGACCTTCTGCTGCTATGGAAAGATTAAAACAAGAAAGCATTCAACTGTTTTCAAAGCAGAGAAACCTTGCTTTCAGACGGTCATCTGAATTGTGCACAATTGTAATAGCAGATTCTGTGGAGAGATTAGACAGTGACAGATTCAAGTCTGTTTAATCCACATTCACCTTTCACAGTGGTTGTTTTTTAATTAAGCAACAATGACACAAACTTCTTTTTGAATCCCATGAATCCCAACTTTATGCAATATGGGCATCTTCACTAATCTGAGGAGCAACTACTTCTTTATGTTTTTACTTCTAAATTTTAGTTTTTAATGCTTGTAGCAAGACAATACATGTTGTGCCTCTGTGAAAGTAAAGCCAGGTGCATACACAAATAAGAGGTTAATGCTAGTTTATTAGTAAAGTTCCAGAAATTCACTCCATACTCTAACTGTAACAGCTCATGCAACTGGTTCACTCTCAACAGAATTGGGATTCTTAGGTTACAACACAGCAAGTAACTCTTTCAAAAGTGCCTAAGTCCCACTGACTTTCAATGAGACCACAGGCTCCTAAGTGTCCAAGTCACTTTTGAAAATGAGACATAGGTGCTTTTGAAAATTTTACTGAGTGACCTTAAAAAGGGACATATCTTCATAACAGGTTGAAACAATGCAATGTTACTATCTACACTGGTCATGGAAACTACATGTGAAATAGAAAGATCCCTCTTGAGGATGGCCAGAGGGCTTGGCATACAGGGTCACAGAATGGGAAACCTGGATTTGAGATTACCTGAGGGCTTTCCCACATCTGGATAGCAAATGCACCAGAGGGCAAAGCTGTATCACTTGTACCCCCACCCTAGCGAATGACAGGAGCAGAGCTAGTCACAAAAGCAACTGAGCTACTTCACTTGTAGAGCGGGGATCTCTATGCAACACAGGTGACCTCAGAGACGATAAGGCAAACTGGAGTCAAAGGCAGTCAGAATGATAAAAACCACAGAACCCCATTCAAACTGGCCCCATTCACAGAGTGCCCTTTGTTTATACTCAAAAGCATGAGAAAGGCAAAAGAACAGCTACACCAAGATATCTGGGGATACCAGAAGAGCTGTCTCAAGTGAATACTTTAGTCTCCTGCAAACTGTAGTTTTCACTGTTTTATTTGTGTTTTTAAGTGGATTATTCATTAAATTGGCCAGTAATTGACTGACTATCCAATGTCGAAAGTTCCCTTTGGTAAATAAGCTCCCCATTACCCTGAGCTCAGAACTCACTTTCTGACATGGCAGACACTTCATCCTGAATGGCTAGGATCAGCTTGGCCTCTCTGGTCAGGTACTGACAACGACGCTCCTCATGCTGTAGAACTATGGCAATTCGACGAGAGAGGTTGTGTAAACAGTTGATCACCGATGGATCTGCGTTGGCCTACAGGGAATACAGGAACAGACCTGGTCATTAATTCAGTAGCTACCAAACACATGTAACTAGACTCAACATGAGTGTTGCACTGTTGGACAAATTATTTTTAATAATTTTCATTAAAGATAATGAATTATCTTTAATAGTTAGGTTGGAGGTCAGCCTCCCTGGCGATTGTCAAAAGAAAGGAGATTTCTCTGGCTCAAACAGTAGTAAAGCTGAAGGACAGAGATCCGTAACTAAAGCAAGTCAAACACACGTAACTAGGCCAAGAAGTAGTCATGAAAACAATGAGGAGGGATCTCCAAGTTGGCATGTACAAAACAACGAACATAACCTAGGGCATGATTACTCATTTTACTTGTGTATCTTCCCATTTGTTACTGGACCTTTTAATAAAAGAAAGATTATAGAACAGACCTTCAGAGCATTAGAGGGAAACTTCAGACTACAGAAAAATTTAAAATATCAATACATTCCAATACAAAAGCACTGGAAGTACAAGGATGACATAGCTTTTACCACAAGCCAATCTCTCCACATTGGAGCACTGGTGTTTTACTCATTTTTGTCAAACCTTTGGTAGCTTATTTACACTGACTGCAAATCACACAGCCACCATTATTTTAATTCTCTTCACCTGAATCAAAGCCTGGTCATACACAGGAATAGGGACAAAGAATCATGCAAATGCTCTGACTTTAGGTAGAGCTACATAGTGAAAACACATGCCCCAATATTCAGACTTTACGCATTATGACTGGGCTTTTGGCATTAAAATTTTCAACAACATTTGATGCTAATCACTAGAGAACTAATAAGATGCTATGACACTTTTAATCCCAAAGAAAATGAAATTGGATTTAGGTTTCCACACTTCTAACAAATATTGCTTATTTAAAACATTCCATTTGTAGGTGTCCCTCTAGAATGAAAGTGCTGGAAAGCCTATCGGCCACAGACAGCTGATAAGGTGGGGCTCACTGGCTCTAAGCCAGGAAGGGTGCAGTAAGCAGCTGTTTTATGTCTGTTAAGACATTTAAAGGAATTTAAGGTTCAGGCAGCAGATAACCTGACATCTAAACTAGAAAACCATGAGTCAACATTTTTACAGGCCAACATTTTTGCTGAGTCACAACACGTTGGTAGGGCTGAAACTTAGCACAGCAGGATCACTGCTGATTATAACATTTGGGTCTTAGCCTGTTCTGTCTGTCTGCTGCAGATGGACTCATCTTTATCTTAGAGTACCTCCACCCACAACTTGGGTCATCTGCAGCAGTAACTCTATGTTAGCAAAATTCCATTTGCTTTACATGCAGTATGTTCCACAGACAGTTCTTTATGAAGAGAATGTCATTTTGGTAAATACAATGCAGTGCTGCTTAAAAAGATGGCAAGGTAAACTCCAACTGAATTACAAAGCCAGAATTTCTGCTTTTGTTCCCTGTACAAGGGCCATTAGAAATTAGATTCTAGAGAAATACAAACTATACCAAAGTCGATGGCTTCACTACAAATCACCAAGTTGCCGCACAGAGCATGTGAATGAATAAGCAATGTTTTCAACATAAAACACCTTCAGAATGGATGTTTATATGTTTTAGATTTTCTGAATTCAATTCTGGGATAACTCCATCTCTCTATTAACTCTGTGAAACTCAAGCAGAAAACCCTGTCCCCCTAGTGAGGGAGAACTTAGTCATCACAAAAAAGCCAACAGCAAAGGACACATTAGTATAACAGAAAAATCTTTGTTTCACTGACAGCACTCTTAACAACTGGGGAGGGGAAGAAGGAGGGGTAGGAGGCTCTTCTCCATTTCTGCTTTTGGCCACCACGGCCAGGACATGAACTTCACAGTTCCAAACAGAAGCCGTATCACAACCAATTGCTTTACAAAGGCTTATTTCCCTCAGGTATAACTCCCTTAATCCTTCCTAGAAGGCTTCTTAGCTCATATTCATGCATTACACTTACACACACACAAAACAATGTGCTACCTCTACAACACGCAGGCTTATGGATTGGGAAGGGAAAGCCAGAGCTGGGAAATCAAATGCTGATCTCACATATGGCAGCTTTTATGCCATTAAAGTGGCTGAATCAGGCTTCTCTAAACACTAAAGCAATTGTACAGCAATGTTAAAATCAGAATGAGTAGTACTGAGCAAACCTACTCCCAGAATGCATGGGCTAAATATGGGCCCACTATGTAAATAATTACAATACAGCAGGCTTGACCAGAAGAGAGAGACAAAAAAGGTTTTGTGACTTATGAGAGACTCAGTACAAGTCTATAGCCTAATAACTCTACACACTACCTGTCACTTTGAACTCGAGACCCAACAGCTGCCTGGTGCCTTCCTTCCCCTGGCTCACACTAATAGAAAGATTCCACTTCTAAGATGTTATCAGGTTCAAGGAAATAGCCCTAAATATTGTCCACCGGGGTCCTTGTCTCAAAAACCCTGCAGCATGACTTAGGACTCCAAAGAATGCTGTTCTGAAATGTCACTACAGGACTTATAAGAGGGCTAGTAATTTCCCTACAGAAATTCAAGGCCCTTCTCCCCCATACCTGGAATTTCTCCTGACTGTGACAAGAAGGGAAAGAACACATTTTGGTCACCAAATCAAACAACACTTTCAGCAAAAGGTCAGGTTCAGATGAAACCACAAACCTCTGATGCAGCAAAGGACACACAACCGGACTAATTTCAGAAAGCTGTGTTAGGGACAGAAAGGGGACTCCCAAGTCCCATTTCCATCTAAAAATAGAAGCCTAAACTTGGTGCTTTGATTCTTGGGATAGGTGCGTTAATTATCCCTCAATTTCTAAGTGTATTTGCTAATTGTCATGTATTGTAAATGACAGAGCCAAGGAAATTTTGCTTTGCTTTTGCTTCAGAATTTGAATTACTCAGTATATGCTATATTTAAGATTGCAAAACAGTTTTCATATCTCAGTTTCCACTCACTCCTAAATTTTGAAAAATTATCCTCTTGGGCTGAAATTTTCCATGCTTGGACTGTGCCTGACGTGGTTTCTTTTTATTATTGTTTCTACTTTGAGGACAGTCTCTTCAGCTGTTTTTGAGTTCTGTGTGTATGTGGAAAAATTTCACTGCAAAATATAATAGCTACATTCCTGCTGATCATTTATTACAAACAGACTGCCTGCTTAACATAAAAGAGACTGATTATTCAAAAATACTGAGCTTTGGAAGCTGACCTATCAGTAGCTTAGTGAGGCGTGTGTTCACAGTGGTGTTTAGAAAAGGTCATCTGGAAATTCATTATGGATGTTTAAAAACTTTAACCTGAGTATGCCAAGGAGGGAGTGTTATTAAATCTGAGAGCACACATTTCTGGAGAGCTGGTCTGCTTACAAATGCAGGCTGTTTATTGTGTATTCTATAGGTACTTAGGCCCTGAATTGAAGCTGAGCACACTTCTGGCCTGGCCAGGCCTCTAGCCCCTTTATTCACTCGACTCCCTAACAAAGTATGCTTTTCACTGAGAGATCACTAGTTCTCATATATATTCAAATTTCCAAGCATACCAAGTGTGCTGAGAACGTCACAGCACACAAGCACAGAGTAGGCCCCTGTGCATCCGTTAAGATCCCTGCTCCGTGGATTGAAAGGAGCATCCCACCCTCTATTGCCCTGCTAACAAGTGGATCCCCAGTCCACTCCCTTGCTACCTGCATAAAGAAATCAGCATGGCTCTTTAAGTGCACATGTATTTGATATATTTTTAATTCTGTGAAGCACTCAAATACCATGGTAATGAGGACTACAGAAATGCCTATCACTAAACAGTAAATGCATCAATGACTCCACATTTCAGAGGCAGCAATGGTATGCTTGGAAGAAACATACCTGTGCCTCTAACAGTAGGATCTAAGGCTACTCTTTTAAATAATACAACAGTGCTCAATTCTTTGAGGCAGGAAACTTTTCTCTTGTCTGTACATCATCAATAGGTAAACAATAATGTAAGATTACAATTGTACAACATCTTAAAAGTCAGGATATGTAACAGTTGCGGTTTCTACAGCAATATTACATTGGCCTTGCTGCACCTACATAGTCTTTTGCATTCTTGTTTTTCTTGTTAAAGGGATACTTTAAGATTCCTGTCTGTTATTAAATGTATACCATAAAATATACAGGATGTGCAATAAGGCTGATCTTCACTATGAAGTAGGACCTCAACTTTTGCATTTACCTGCAAAAGAATGACAGAAAATGTCCTGTTGGAAACAATCATTCCCTGGCCCGAGAGATTGGCTGCAAAAGCAGATGGGGCTCTTCCATCTTTTGACTTCTATGATTGCTTGATCTTTCTTTATTTTAACTGTGCATCTTTAGTGTCACGTGCAGTACTGTTTTTACATTTTTATATATTTCAAATTAAGAAAGTCTGGTTTATAGTGAAAGAAGGCAGTGAATGTGTGTTACTGAAATGTTACTGGCATCTGAATCAACAGTCCTTATAAAACAATACAGAATCCATTCTTGGGTAAAAACAGTCCTTACCCTTAAGGCAAATACAACATTAAAGAGAATCATGGTGGGCATCTCTCTCTTTGGTGATGGATCAGTTTTGGATACCTGCAAAACATTATATATATATTTAAAAAAAATCTAAATGAGTGAAGGCAGTACTTCAGACATAGTTTTAAAATAGCATAGATGCGACTACTAAAAAAAATGGTCTTGATTTAACAGATCTAGTCTTATTAGGTTAGTTTCCTGTTGCATTTCACCATTGGCTGCCTGTACATTTATTCCTTCAAAAGGGACTCACTGTATTTCTACATATAGTTAATTAAATTTATGGAAAATTGATTCTTTTATAACAAGTAAAAGCCTCTAGGTGTCGTCAACCAAACAATCCCAGACCTTCCCTTCCTAAAATGTACTCCACTATATCATGTTTTTAATATTTCCACTTGTCAGGACTGAAGAGAATATATGTTTTAGAAATGTATATATTCAAGCACACACATTATACAGTTCTAAAACAAAAGTAGATTTGTCTCCTACATATGGCATTTTGGAAACCTTTTCCCCAAAACCATTCTCATCACAACAAAAGGCTTTTGACATTTAACAAAAAAAAAATATATAGATGTTTGAAAAAATAAAATCAAGCAAGACAAAACAGGTGAAATTCCTTCATTAGGAGCTGTTCAATCTCGATTATTCCACTGACCAAGTGTCTCCACAAGATGGAGCAGGAGATCCAAGCGACACGTCTGTACTTCCAGAGAGCTCCATAATGCTTATGCCTAATCCTCACAAGTATGGAAAACTCTCACTTCCCAGGGACTTTGGGCCCCAAATAACACACAGTTCAGGGAAAGAAACGGGACGATTTATCAGTATTCTTAAAAAACTAGATAAACTACAAGGAAAGAGGAAATCATCTGTTTTCTAAAGGATCAAATAAGATTCTAGTTAACAGGAGGAGAGAGGGATCACTTTGCACTGCAGTTTTGACAACAAGCCCTGTTATTTGGTTTCTTGGAACTTAAAGGTTTCCATAGGAACATTTCTCTAAGCACCTTTCAGAGGCCTCAAAGCATTTACAAACTTAGGGCCCAATCCTGTTCCCACTGAAGTTAAAGGGAGTGCTGCCACTGACTTCAAACGGCAGCTGGGTCAGATCTCACAATGTTCTCTAACCAGAAGAGAAAGACAGGAGTACCTTTACCAATTTAAACTATAGGGAGAGTTTAAAGAGGCAGAATGTCATTAAACAAACAGGAGTCATACCAGGGACACAGGATTAAATACTTTAACTATTGTGAAAAGACTGCCATATGGTTTTTAACAACCACAAAAGGCCAGGATCTAACGTGAACAAGAATCTTGCAACAGCACATTGTTCTGACACTGCATTCTGGGCCACAGCTAATGAGTCACAAACACCACTTCTTGTAGTGCCCTGGATATTAACCCACTGCAGCTTATGAAATCTGATGAGATCCACGCCAGAAATATTGTGGCTACTTTATAATTCAGAATTTTATTTATTTACTTTTTATCTAAAGGGATTGGAAGGAAATCCAATTTGCCTCTTTCTAATTTTGCAAAAAGAGAATTCCAGCTTTAGAACTGAATGACCTAGCAGAGCTGGCTGCCATTTCTGCGTCAGTTTAGAACATTGTGTTAATGAATATGCAAAGGTCTTTAGGAGTGATAAAATATACACAATTGAATAGTTCTATAGAATTTCTATAGAATAACAAAAAGATGTTTACAGGTCTCAGTAACTTTTACTACCCAGATGTGATTCTATTCAGAAAAATAGAAAACCAAGATGTTCTTTATGTAACTAGAATGAGAGTGACTAGAATTTGAGCAGCATTCCATCGCAAATAGGCAACTGCAAATCTGGTAGCTTTTCAATTTAATTTTCAGCCATTACACTTACAAATACACTGGGCAACTGACACCTTAATAAACAGGCTCTTTAGGATCAGGCTTGGAAAATGCACAAATCTGATACTATTAGACAACACATAGTGTTCACTCTGGCATATGGTATAATGAACGTTAATGCCATTCATTGCACTACATGACATTGTCTCCACTGAATATTCACCCCAGGATCATCTGAGAAAAAACTGCCAGCAGTATGAGCAGTCACAGCTTAGCAATTTCTAGTGGCATGGATGGGAAGGGTTAAAAGTGATTCTGGAAAAAATAAATACAAACTGCACCTAGAAGTTCCCTCCAAAATACTGCCTCTCAGTTTGCTGTTATACCTCAAGGCTAAAGTCATAAGGCCTTGTCTGCAGTAAAGAACTCTGTTTAAAACGTGTCACTGCTATGAATACGGGTTCAACTCCACCAGCAATAGCAATGTTGGGAGCAGTAGCACGCATGGGCTGCTGGTGTTGAGCATAGTGGGTAAAATTTTCAAAAGCACCTAGATGGCTTAGGAACCTACATTCCATTTTCAAATGTGATGTCAGCATTTAGGAACCTAAGGTCTCATTGACTCATACGTTTCTAGCAGTGTCAGTGAGATGTAGGCTCCTGAGAGCTGAGATCACTTTTGAAAACGGAAATTAGACTCCCAAGCCACTTATGCACTTTTGAAAGGTTTACCCAATGGTCTCTCACCTTACTCAGGGTAAATCTATTAAACATGGTGCTTAAACCAAAAGCAGTAGCCACAGATTGCCTGCATGTTTTACACTAATTCCCCCACCATTACTAATGCTGGTGAAGAATAACCAGTTAGTGACAGTAGGAAATTTTTGAAAGCCACATTAATCTAGTAAATCTAATATAAACAAGGCCAAAATGACTAAGACACAGACACTGAGAAATGGATAGACCGTTGCTGATCACGGAAATTCCCAGAGCCCAATTCACTTTTAGGCACTATTAGTGAGATCATAAAAGGGGATAGGGAAAGTGCAAATCCTTCCCCAGACTCATGCAGAAGCCCTTTCCATGGCCCATGTGGCTGAACGTCTACTCCACTTCAGCATGACGCACTTCTGAGTTGAGAGGTTAATTCATAAGTGCCTATATGGCCTTGCTGACCCTGGGAAATTTCACCACCCCTTACCCCAAAAACAAAACAAATGTTCTAAATCAGTGGTTCTCAACCAGGGGTCCACGAGCTGATTTCAGGGGGTCCGCCAAGCAGGGCCAGCTTTAGACTCGCTCAGGCCCATGGCAGAAAGCCAAAGCCCTGCCACGCGGGGCTGAAGCCAAAGCCTGAGCAATATGGCTTTGCAGGGGTCCCTGTGGTATGTGGCCCCAGGCAGTTCCTCTGCTTGCTACTCCCTAACTCTGGCCCTGGCTTTTATATGCAGAAAAACAGTTATTGTAGCACAGGTGGGCATGGAGTTTTTATAGCATGCTGGGGGGGCCCTCAGAAAGAAAGAGATTGAGAACCGCTGTTCTAAACCATATCCTGAAGAACCAGCCTTAGCACTGGCGGGAGCCATAGAGTTGACAAGGCTCAGGTGGCTTCCAGAATTTTTACCATTATGTTTAGTTAAACCTGCCAAAAAGCCAATTTAACTAGCACAGTGGTAAACACAGATATGGTCCGCTGGAGCCATATCGTCGCTAGGGTTTCTATTTAATATTAACACTGATTCAGTTGCACCTGTGTTTGAGCCACTGGGAAGTTTTTTGTGAAAAATTTCCAGAGTAGACACAACATATTTGGCATTAACATCAGCAAATAAGCAAAGACAAAAGCTTTCAAAAACCACAGGCATAAAACAGAGTTTCAAAGCAATGCTGTACATTTTGAATTCCAAATTTCATAACTCTTTTGCTGTTCTGTCCATATCAATTCTCAGGAGAAAAATGTTTCCCAGTGCCCCAGCAGCTCTCTTACCGTACCTGCCCGAGGGCATGCTGCAGCAAGGTAGGGTGGCCAACAAAACGGACATTATCAATCTTCAGCTCAAATTTTTTGCCACACATATCTGATTTGGTAGCCAAAATTGTTGCCAGGATGACATCTGAAAATCTTCAAAAGTAGAAACAAGTTACTATGATAACCAAAAAACCACACCCTAAAAATATTCCCCAAACTGAAATACAGATTTATTTCATTTGTGTGAGCTTTAAGAGTGTTTCAAATTACATATTTAAACTGGAACACCTTGAATGCATCCAATTATGAAAATTAATAATTCCATAAGATTATGTGTCTCAGATCACCAGAATAATAAAATGAGAAGCATCAAAGGCAAAGAATGAAGGTTCATGCTTATTTAATTACATGCTCTGGGAAAGATTAGATGTCATCTGCTTTCAAAAAGATAAAACCCGCTCAAATTAGTCATTGCCTGGATTTAGCTGCAGGTTAATGAACTGACTAAGCAGGCAGATATCAAAATCTTCACTCAAGCAGACAAGGATCTTTAACTACCCAAGTGTGTGGGGGAGGGGAAGGGGGGGTTGTTGGATTTTAATAAAAATCTTCTTCCCACTGTGTCCCCCATCTCTTCTAAATCCAGTAGTCAGATTCAAATGTATTGCCATGAGAGATACTCTGAGATCAGCAGATCACTGGTGGTCTGCAGACAGCTGGCTGGTCACATGGTACTGGCTCTCCTCATCCCAGCTATTCAATTGCATTAAAAGTAGTAACAATACAGTACACTCTTTCCTAATAAAACTTCTCAATGTAAACAATTGCTGTTAGCACTGGCATCTAATGGTACTGTGAGTGGGGAGGACGTGGTCTATGAATGTGGGGGCAAGTGTCCACAAGAGAATCTCACTGTAAAGGCATGTTGTTCATCATGAAAAAGTCTGAAAACCCCTGCCATAAAAAGCCATTAGAAGGAACCCCTCTGCAACTCCACTGACAGTGCTGTGGGTGATCTTACACCATTCTAATCTATTTAGGTTCTTATATCGCATCCATTACCATGTTGTCGGAGACAGATGAGCTCAGACCAAAGTAAAACAGATTTCATTTTGCAATTGTAGGAAATTTTTCCCCCCAGTTAAGAGACTGTACAAACTTTATTGTTTTATTACTGTATAGTCTTTCCTCAACTGCCCTCTTTGAAGCAGCCCAGCTGCAACCAAAGTGAAGAAATGTAAACTAACCCTCTGAGGAGAGTTTAACAAGTTCCTGTACTTACATTTGCTTGTGTGTGTGCGCATGTCCCCCCATCCCCCTTCCCAATGCAAGTATCCCAGATAACACTGTATCGCCTAAGGAAAAGGGCGGACCACGGGTGTGTGCTGCACTCCCTTTATCTCTTGTCAGCAAATGAGCCCTTAGTGCTCAAGGAAGCTACTCATTTAAGAAAGCTTTCTGGTCTAGTTTTGGTGAGTTATTAAAGGAATTGAGAGAAAAATTTACAGCCATATAATATATACACATTCACCCATGCACAGGCAGCTGTATTGCCTTTCAGTTAGCACACTGGTCATTTCTTTTTATTAGTAAGGAGAATATTCTTGGTTTTATTGAAGGTCTATGCTGACCCAATGGCTCTGGCTATGAGATTTCGGAGTATCCTTGCCCTGCTGGACATTAGGTGTGCTAGGGTCATGATGGCCCTTGCACTTCTGGAGGGAGCAAGTGTGCACTGCATTTTCAAACCCCATAACTGCTCATCACAGACAGTATTGCAGCTTATAGGAGACAGTTTCCTACTGAATGCAGCTGGGATATTGGCATAAGGAGATGGATTAATCCAGGTGCCTCAAAGCCAACTGAACCATCATTTCATGAATAGTGTATCTACCAGTATGTTCAACAACACATATGAATTCAATAAGGAAAAAACCGTAGTTTCCTTAAACTGACTAGAACGAGCTCCCCTGAAAACAGTTTCTGTTAAAAACAAATACAAGGTTACAGCTCCAGGTGCCCATTTGTGAAAAATCCCCTGCATCACTAGTCTGTGTTAATTAGGTGGTTCACACTGGACTGGGGAGAATCTTAAAGTGGGCTGGGCCACAAGGGATGGCAAATTTGGGAGCAGAAAGGACTAGGTGCTGATGAGTGGGAATTTTTTCTATCTGTCCTTGGAGAGAAAAGTCTTGACTGTGGGGCCCCGACCCATTATACTGGCTTTTGTCACTTCAAGATTAAGCTACAACAACATGTTCAACATGGGGCTACACAACCAGGCCATTCAGAAGGTACAGTTGGTGCAGAATACACTGTAATCTGCACTGGCTTCTGGTTGGCTTCCAGGTGGAGGTCAAGGAGCTGGTTTCAACTATAAAGCCCACAATGGTTTGTAACTGCCTACCTGAGAGACACTTCTTTCTCCCTCTGAGAGACTACCACAGATGTGATCAGCTGAAGCACCCTAGATACACAGCCCTCTGGTTCCACAGAGAGGAGTCTGGTATTGTAGCAGGGCCTCTTCAAGGGAACGAGGGGTCTTTGACTCTGGATCCCACTCCCCCTTAGTCACACAAACTGGATCTGTTAACCCTGACGACACACTGCATAGCTAATCTATTTCCTTGGGCTTTTACAGAGAAGGTGGACTGAGGGGGTTATCAGTTTTTATTATTCCAGCCTGGACTGGTTTGTATGAACAACACAATGGGATCCAGATCCAGGACCAGGGCTCCAAAGTGCTATAATTACTACTTATATTAACATTTTTGGGATTTTATTGAGGTTTGTAAAAATGCCTAAAGTCAATGGGGATTGATACTTCAACTGACAGAGCCCTAAAGTTTTGTCTGAAGCTGATGAGATTCCACTCCTAGGTAATGACAGATCCAGCACTTGTGCGACCATGTAAAGCCCTGTGATTTCTAAAGGGGAGCAAACCCTTATTGTACCATGGCACAGAACAAGCAGGATCTAACCACAGAAACCAAAGGCCTTGGCTACACTAGGGTTTGGGATTTTTTTAAACCAGAAATCTCTCACGACTGCTACCACCAGTTCAACTCCATCAGTGGTATCAACAGTAGACAATAGAGCGGTTAATGCTGGGAGCACTAGCATTAGCTGGCTGCCACTATTGCTATCACCTGTGGAACTGAACCAGTGGTAGCAACAGTAGTTTTATTTTCTTTTGGTGGGGTGGAAGACACCCTCCAACAGACACAGCCATCTGAGCCCAAGAAGAGATTCTATACCATGATTGACTTATGCCAGGTGTTCAAATGAATAGGGAGAAAGATTCTTAGCTTTTCCCTGCTATTGTTTGGTCTAGGCAGAAGACAACTGCGTACAATACAGCTGCAGCTCTTGAGGTAGCAATCTCAGGTTCCTGTGCATAGTGGCTATGCAGCTAAGAGTGCCAGACTATTTTGCATCACTCCTGCTCTGAATACTTGCAGTTGTCTGTGAGGAGACCTTGGAATTTATTCCCTCTCACTCCAATCCAGCTTCTTCAGACTCTTTTCCAGCCTCCAGACATTATTCTCTTCCAGGTTGGAAGAAGGAGCCTCTCCCCAGTGTGTACAATTTCCACTTTCTTAGTCACTCTGCAGTGACTAATACAGTAAGGCTATCATGGAATTAAATAACTTTACTCATTGGACCATACTTCTAAGTGATCAATTGCTAGTCAGAAAGAAGCTAATTTAGGGTTTGGTAATTAATACTAAGATGAAATGTGTGTTTGGTGATACATGACCCCAGACCCAATTCCCATGGAGCTTTCTGGAGGCATTGCAGCACCTTCATTGACACAGGCGTGGATTCTTGCAGGATTACTTACTTTCCTATACCCATAGAAAGGACAGTATGGGTCCACCCACTCAATACATTTTTGTACTTCCTGTAGTGTTAGCAGGACTTTTTCAAATCACCTAGCAAGAAACCTTGGCAATACATTTCTTACGGACACTGTGATTTAATATAGAGTTCAAATTAACTCAGTGTTCAGTGTAAAATGGAAATCAGAAACAAAGCACAATTAAAGGATGGTGAGAAAAGAAAGCCATTCTAGACAGATGTGATTGCTTGGAATGTTTGCTCTTACCCTGAAACCAATTGCTCATCAGTTAGAGGACATTGCTCTCTGAAATGGGAACATGGGCATAAACACAAAACAAAAAATACAGCAAAAGAATAAACCAGGCAAAGTAACAAGATACACAAAAGTGACAATATTAAAAATGAAGATGGACTATTAAGGGTTAAACTTCTGTACAGTAGAGATAACTACATACAAGAGTAAAAGCAAGCCTATGGTAAGGACATTGCTGGTGCATATTTTATAATTAATGCTTACCTAGCATATTCTTACCTAGAAATTGCAGAAAAACTAACACTGATTTCAGAGGAAGAGATTCCTTAACTTCGTTTCCTGGAGCAGATTGTTACTGGTGTTTACAAGAACCCATCTGTGTTGTTTAAAGTTGCTCACTGCATCATATGGCACAAATCCTCCTTGTCAACTTGCGAGGCACTGGCAGTGTAGCTCAGAGGTTAGAGATGAGACATAGGACACTGAGGATTTTATGCACATTTGTGGCCCTTTGGATGGTCTTGCACATGGAACTGCTGCTATTCCCGAATAAGCACATCTCCCCATATGAGATGGGCCAGATTCACAGCAGTGGCAGAGCCAGTTCCATCCCTGGCTTATTTCATACCCAGGACCAGTCAGCAATCAAAGCCTTAAGATGAGTAAGCTGAAAAAGGTTTTGTGGTAAAGGACATGAAGCCCTCCATTTGATGCAGAGAACAAAAGAAGGCACTTACTGACTTTGCTCTCAACTGCAGCTATTCGTACACTATGGCAGCAGATGCTCCTGCACTGGCTCCCAGATACCAGTGGACAGAGCAAATAGAAATGCTTCTCTCTCAAGAATAAAATTGTTTCCAAAGATGGATGGTGCAATTGAAAATTTGGCCAGATAAAGCCATGGCTGCCTTATACCATGCATGTTAAAAGCTGTACCTGAAATCAAAATGTCAACTCTGATTCTACTGGAAAGGTAACCCAGTCTCCTGCCGGACACTTTACAGCAAAGAAAACCAGGGGCACCCTACAAATGGGAGAAGTGTCACCAAAGGAGGGAGAAGTGGAATCATGGGATGGGTGTCTAAAAGGATGGATGGAAAGCCAGGTGCTTCACTGAAGGGAGGCCCCTAAGAATACCTGTAAGGGGTACCAGGTAGGTGCTTAACAAAAGAAAAGAGAGAGAGTGTGTATATGGAGGAGTTATCAGAGGGGAGCAGGTGCCAGTCAGGAAGTGAGAAGGGAAAGATATGCACTTCTGAAGGTGAGAGAGTCTCACTGGAAATGCTAATAAGGGAGTGCATATAGGAGTTGGTTCCTACAATCAGGAGGGGAGGGCCTGCCACATAGCCTCATCACCAGAATGCACTGTTATAGCGCAGCTCAGTAGTACACTCTTCAGCAGTATCTCACTTTAACGAGTTTCTGAGCTGTTAAAATAGGTGTATTAACAAAAGGTACATACATGAGACCGACAACTGGAAAAACCTTGATATAGGGAGAATGCTCCCAACAGCTGGGGAGACATTCTCATGGGTTTTTATAGCTCTCACTATTGAACCAAAGACTGAAGCAGCAGGTATGGGGAAAGAGGACTGTGCTCCATGTGGTGGAGGGTAAAGGAGTATGAGGACCTGAGAGGGAGGGTGCTGGTTTCCTGGTACTACAGTACTAGCATTGCCTTATCTGTATCAGACTCCTCAGCTCAGCAGACAGCTGTGGATTTCCCTCTGGAAGGAACATGCTGCTGTAGTTGCTTAATGCTACAAGGGTTTGAGAGCCAACTTGTGCAAAAGCCTGTTGCTGACACAGCAATCCTTGAATGTGCTGGTTGTCCCAATTGAATCAGCTTGATAACAGCTGGGAAGAAATTCCTGACTCCCAGTCTGGTGCCCAGAATTCTACTATGCCAGAAATTTAGGCCTTTTCTACACTTAAATTTTTGACAGTTTAACCATGGTTAAACTGGCAAAAACTTTCCTAGTGTAGCTACAGTTATATTGGTATAAAAGTGCTTACACTGGTATAGTTTATGCCAGATAGGATAAACAGAGTTCCTGTTTTTCAGATTTTCATTCATTTCATTCTTGGGGGTTTATTCTTAACAATTTGAGTTTTATGTAGATGCCCCAAAAATGTTTTTTTCCCCCCAGAGCTCTCTCTCTGATACCGTAATAAGATTTTTTTGGGTACTTCCCAAAATTCTTGTATAAACAGGATCTACTTTAATTTTTATGATCTGTATAAAAATGACTTACCGGTACTTTACTTTGATCTTTGTATCTTTGTAGTTGAACCCCTGGTTTAGCATGTAGCACGTTTGTATCCTATAGTCTGCTTTAACACAGTATTGCTTCAAACAACACTATATTAAAGCACACTAGGGAAATTTTAGTATGCATCAGAAGGGTCAACTCAGACCAGCTAATGCACAATACGTTTTAGAAATCGCAATCTGCAGTCTGCATTATTGGTGCATCTACACAAGCCCTTAGATGAAAGCCAGGGAGCAGGGACATCACCTATATAAACAAACTGCACTGGGAAAGTGGTGAAGTCAACGCGAACCATTTCTGGCTTTTCGCAATATTTATTGAATAAACACTGATTTGTATATAGATATAGATAAATTGGGAGTGTTTTATCAATTAAAACCTAAAATCACTAGCCTTAAGTATAGGTTATACCAATATAAGTGCATCTACATTAGCACTTTTACCATCACAGCTATGTTGGGGGGGGGGGGGGGAAAGAGACACAATCACTTCCCTAACTGACATAACCACACTGGTAAAACTTTTTAAGTGTAGACCAAGCCTTCCCTTATGGCTTTGGGAAAGTCACTTAAGGCCTGTGTACCTCAGTTTTCCCATTTGTGCAAAAGAGCCAATACAAATCTCCACCAGTTGTGATGATTATTTAATGTTTGTAAGACACTTTGGAGAGGAGATGTGTTTTAACTGGGTTATTTGGGAGAGGGGAATAGTGGAAGGCTAGGAGGAAGCAAGCGGAGATATGTTTGTCAGGTCAAGTTTGTTCTTACAGGTGGCTGATCCTACTAGATAGTCGCCTTCTATCAGGAAGCTAACAATACAATGCAAGTATTTTTGCTACTCCAGTTGCTTCTGAAAAGGAGATGAAAACCCAGACAAAGCTATATTAAAATAGAGTTCAGGCTGAGAGTATATACACCAGTAACTGTGGGTGAAAGCATCACAAGAATGCTGTAATTATCTCAAAAACAAGCATTAACAAACCCAGGAAATTCAAGAGATAAGTCTAAATTTTTTAAAAATCCAATTATGTTAAGGTATGGAAATACAGAGTTCAGACACCTAAACCACCTTAACTCTCTCTGCAGTAATGCCATCAGTAAATAAAATTACAAAGCAAATCTAATCTTCAAAATCAAGTTATTCTAATTTGTGACCACAAACACATAATTATTTCACAGCCTCACCAAATCTCTTACTAAAGCTAATGCTAACAGTGGGGATTGCTACTGCTAAAACCTAATGAAGTAAATACTATCCTCTTTCCACTTTAGGAGCAATTGTATTATGTACCGATCTATAAACTATTGGCAACTTGTCTCATGCTCCAATTAAAAGTTTTCCTGCTAAATGCAGATTTGATTTTTTTCCCCAGCTCAAGGGCTTGATTATAACTGAGTTATGTTCACTGGAGTGCACTTAAAGGTATCACACTGGTTTTTCATTTAAAGGAAAATGTAAAGTATATACTTTGAAAAGAACAGAATTAACTGAGGAAAAGCAGTAGTCTATTCCATTGTGTCTGTTCAATCTGAGCTGTTCACACTATCCGTTCAAAAACTGGTGACAACGGGAAAAGATGAAAAGCTGCTATATGCAGATGATGTAGTAGTAAGGGCATCCTTAAAAGGTGACTTAGGGAAAATAGTAAACCAGTGGTATGACAAGCTAAGCAGGCATCGGACAAAAATGAACATGAGTAAGATTAGGGTCATGTGGGTCAGTAGAGATTAATGAAGTACGATTAAACAAATTGACCAGTTCAAGTACCTCAACAGTGAGCTTGAATGTTTGTTGAGACACAAGTGTTGTGCACAACAAGCATATGCCTCTGAGACTGAAAGCCCTACTTTATAGAACAATAGTGCACCCGGCAATGCTGTATGGTGCAGAAACATGGGTGCTGAAGAGGCAGCAGATTCAATGCCTACAGCTGTTCAAGGTAAGATGTCTTTGCACTATAAAAGGAGTTACACAAAGTGACAGATTTCAAAATGAAAGCATTAGGATGGCAGTCAAAGTCTGACATGGCTGACAAAACCCAGGAAGTGTGACTTCCCTGGTTCAGACACATGCAGAGGATGAATGAAGAGGAACAGACGAAGATCGAATGGGATGACAGCATGGTAGTAAACAAACCCCGTGGAAAGCTGAGGAAGTGATGGATGGATCGCATCAAAGATTAGGGACCTAAGCAGGTGGATCTTAGTGCTGCCATGGACAGCCGAAGATAGTGCATGCTTGCTCAACGACTTGACCCCAGATGATGGCATAAGGGGAAAGAGAAGAAGAATCAAAGTCACAATCTATTGAAAGATACAAATCTGAAAACTGGAGCTGTCCGGCCATCATATTTCAAGATAAAAATGCAAAACAGAAGGCATTTGTATGACTTTATATTTGAAGAAAGTAAAGTTAGTGCATTTCAGGAAACAATTTGAAAACATGTTGTACATTAACAGCACGTGCAGTAATTTGATGGAAGAAGTCACTTGTTGCTATGAGCTATTATTTCTGAAGATGGGGATCAGTCTAGCCGTTGTATCAGTTCTTCAGCTCTAGACAAGAGCTTATCTCTTTCCTTCCATTAGCATGTGAGAGGAAAGTTGTGAAAAATGTGATTAATGTGAAAAATACTGATTATTCTGGGAGCCAGAGAAGGACTTTTGCAAAGGAAGAATTAGACTCAAGTGTAATTTCAGAGAAGGACTTTGTCACAGCTAGCAGGTTTAAAATGGAGCCACCTCTGCACATTTGAATGCAGATGCATAAGCACACAAAGAGCACTTTCATCAGGTCTGCTAGATTAAAGAACCTCTACTATCCAAAATCTTCTCCATATGTAGGTACTTCTACACCATGACCAAAGGAGCTCAATGTATGTAGCTTATAAGTATTTGAAAGGCATGTTTTCCAGACTTTACATGATTCTGGTGGCTCTTTTCTGAACATTCTCCAATTTGTCAACATCCATTTGAAGTGGACTCCAGAATTGAACGCAATATTCCTGTAACTCCAATTGTTTGAATCTTTAAGTATGTGTTTTTTCCTTACAATGACCAATAATGTACAAGGTCACAATACAATGAAAACTGGGATTTAGGAGATTTTGGTAACTCAGCTCTTCAAGGGCATTACAAGTTCTCTGAGCTTTGTTTTTGGGTCTCATGCTGGTCATTATCTGTAGGAGCCAATAGCTTCCCTCTTTTCCTGGCATTCTGAGAATTTTTTGAAATGCCAAAAGCACCACAGCACTCCTTTGCTTTACAAGTATAGTTTACAAAATACTAGGGCCAAACTTTTTAACAGTGACTTGCAAAAGCAACCTGAGTTAACCAAAGAAACACATACTGAATGGCTCCACTAATTTGGCTGTGCGGAGGGTTTAGCACAGAACTAAATACTAGTTTTTAAAAGTTGTTTTTAGTTCCCATGGAGTCTGCTGCCTTGTACTGGATTCACTGAGGACATCCCAGATTGCAGTGTTCTAAGACACCAAAGATACCAAATATCAGAGGGGTAGTCGTGTTAGTCTGGATCTGTAAAAAAAACAACAAAAAGAGTCCTGTGGCACCTTATAGATTAACAGACGTATTGGAGCATAAGCTTTCGTGTGCCAATAAGTGCTCCCACGAAAGCTTATGCTCCAATACGTCTGTTAGTCTATAAGGTGCCACAGGACTCTGTCGCTTTTTAAAGATACCAAAAAAGACAACACACCGATTTATTGTAAGTCCCAAGCACGTTGTGTTTTTCTCGTCTGTAGAAAACTAAAGCACTGATGCCACCCAGACTTATGTACTTGCTTAACTTCATTACCATGAGCTGTTACACTGATTTCAATGGGACTACTCGTGGTAGTAAAAGTAAGCATGTGCTTAAATCTTTGCAGGATCGGGACATAAATTTCCCCTTTTGAGGTCCAATTCTGCCAACTTCGCTCACGTTAAGTAGTATCTTTCACTGTAATTAGTCTAACTGATTTCAAATAACACTCTCCTCAGCAGGAGTAAGGGTGACAGAACCCGTCCTTTAACTATTTCGTAAGATTTAAAAAAACATGCCCCAGAGAACACCAACTTAGCTAAGGGTGAGCTCAGGACACCTGCTGACTTTGCCAACATCTGTGACAGCCCAGAGTGATAAATTTTGTGGTATGCACAAACCAGAACAAAGCAGGAGACTCTGCATGAAGTAAGAAGAATGTTTAAAAGATCAATTTAAACTGAATAATACACAGGGACACTCAGCACTTCCAGAGCATTTTTCATCCAAGGATCCCAAAAACATTGTTTAAATTTCAGTATCCTTATGAAACATCACTTCATCCAACAAAAAACTGCAGCTACCTCTGGGGAAACACACCAGTTTATTTGCGCACAACTCTACATGAGAGTTAAGGCAGCAAGTGAAGAACACTGTATCCAACTGTAACTCCCATCTGGAGATGCAGGTAGGTAGAACTGAAATATGACCAAGGCCACTGGATTAACACTCCTATTTTCAAAGAGTGGCATGGGCTCTTTAATGACCAGAAGGGGTTAGAATGTCTGATTTACATCTTGTCCAAAAACCAGCACCTTCAGCAGCACTCTGCCTCTCATGAGAAGTGCCTGGTTAGTAGGTGCATCCAGCACATCTGTCTGAGGTTAACTCAGTTCTGAGTTTTTCTTTGCAGATCTCCTTTCATACAGTACAAGAGGATTTGCCTACTCAACTAGTGTGCAAGAAAGGAGAATGGGCCATTCTCCTCCTCTATTTTAAAACTTTTGGTTGAGGGGAAATTTCCTTACCTGGAGTCTCCATCTTGGTCTTCTGTGTTGTCATTAGTGCTATTCACAGCATATCGGCTCCTTGGCTTACCTGAAGCAAATGGAAAAAAAGAATTTTGAATTGCTTAACAGTGACCTTCAAAAAGAAATGTGTGTTTGTGTCTTTTTCTAAAGGATGTACTAGGAAGGCCCAAAAGTGTTCTCTTTAAAAACAACAACAAAAGCCCTTTCTCCCTCCTTTTTTATATTAGAAACATCCAGCCTTGACTTCTCTGCTTGTGCTCCAAGACAGTCTGAGAAACAGGACCAGAAGCGTCCTCAGCCTTCAACTGAAGATGAAGGGGTGCTGAAACTTTCACAAAGAGAACTTATTTCCCAAGTATCTGGCAGAAATATGAATTAAATAGGTACACCTCTACCCTGATATAACGCGACCCAATATAACACGAATTCAGATAGAACGCGGTAAAGCAGTGCTCCGGGGGGGCGGGCCTGAGCACTCTGGTGGATCAAAGCAAGTTCAATATAACACGGTTTCACCTATAACACGGTAAGATTTTTTGGCTCCCGAGGACAGCGTTATATCGAGGTAGAGGTGTATTCAGCAAACAAACAACTTTTAAAAGTTTGATTAACTCCCTTCCCTTACTATTGCTCAGGTGTAATTATCATAGTTTCTGATGTCACAAGCCAGCAAGTTGACTAGCCCTTCAGAGGGTCCTCCTACACAGAGGGTACGTTTACACTTACCGGAGGGTCCGGCGGCAGGCAATCGATGTTCTGGGATCGATTTATCGCGTCTGGTTTAGACGTGATAAATCGATCCCGGAAGTGCTCGCCGTCGACACCGGTACTCCAGCTCGCCGAGAGGAGTACGCGGCATCGACGGGGGAGCCTTCCTGCCGCGTCTGGACCCGCGGTAAGTTCGGACTAAGGTACTTCGAATTCAGCTACGTTATTAACGTAGCTGAATTTGCGTACCTTAGTCCAAAGTGGGGGGGGGGGTAGTGTGGACCAGGCCAGAGAAAGAAATCTAAAGATCTAATGCCATCAACAAGAATGGAAATCATATTTAAATCTAATGCCTTCAACAAGAAGGGAAAAAAAACAAAAACAGTTTTCAAACAACTTTCAGCTGATCTTGGTAAATAATGCAAACGAGGGTTTAAATATCTTCTCTCTTGGCAAATCACATTTTAACACCTACAACGGGGTGTTAAATGCCCTTTGATGACATTGGAAGGTTAGCACAAAGATCAAGGGTAAAATATATGACCTTTTGATACTAACTAAAGGTTTATTTGCTATCTGTTACTTGTTAGGTGCTTTGCGGTCTGACCACATATCACAGGCCACTACCACTACCACCACCCAGCACCCACATACTACACCCAACTGAAATTAGACCAAGGTATAATAGCCTTTAGGAAATCAAAGTATTCTCAGAACATATGAAGCCACTGGAGACTCTCTCACATATTTTCAGCCTAAATAGAATAGATTTTGTCGAGATTTTCCAAATCCATCACATGATCTTGCCTAGGGGTAGTTAAAGCCAGCCATTTTACATCCAGGAAATTTCAAAACAACAGTCCAGCTGGGGTGAAAAGGAGGACACAGAGCTGGGCATTGTGTGTACTGATGGCATTTGAGCCTAGAGAGTTGAAAAATCTTCCCTAAAGATCTAACAGATGTTAATTAAGGGCAAGGCTGAGCCCCCATAAAGGAACACTATAAGTGAGTGCTCTTAAGAAGGGTGTGTTTCTAGTGGGAACCTGCAGGGATCAAGTCTTGATCCTATGCTATTTAACATTTTTATTAACAATCTAGAAGAAAACAAAATTATTACTGATGAAGTTTGCAGATGATGCAAAAAATGGGGAGTGGTAAATAATTAAGAGGACAGATCACAGATACAGAGCAATCTGGATCGTTTGCTAAACTAGGTGCAAGCAAATTATGAGTTTTAATGCAGCTAAATGTAAACGTATACATCTAGGAACAAAGACTATAAGCCATACTTACAGGATGGGGGACTCTACCCTGAGAAACACTGATTCTGAAAAAGATTTTGGGATCGTGGTGGATAATCAGCCGAACACGAGCTCCCAGTGCAACACTGTGGCCGAAAGGCCGAATGCAATCCTGGGATGCAAAAACAGAGAAATCTTGAGTAGGAGTAGAGAGGTCATTTTACCTCTGTATTTGGCACTAGTGCAACTGTTGCTGGAATACTGCATCCAGTTCTTGTGTCCACAGTTCAAGAAGGATGTTGATAAATCGTAGAGGGTTCAGAGAAGAGCCAATCAGAGAATGATTAAAGCAGGGGTCAGCAACCTACGGCACGCTCAGCCCGCCGCCACTCTGGGGCTTTCCGCCGCCTGCTCCTGCCAGCGAGGGTCCCACCGCCGGTCCCACTCAGCACCTGCTGCCGGCCTGGGTGAAGGAACCCCAGGCTGGCAGCGGGTTGAAACCCCAGCTGGCAGGAACCGGCGGCTGAAACCCCAGAGCGGGGACAGGCTGAGCGGCTCAGTCCGCTGCCGGTCTGGGGTTCCCTCTGCTGGCCCCTTGCCAGCTGGGGTCCCCCCCACCGCAGCCCCACTCAGCACCTGCTGCTAGCCTGGGTGAAGGAACCCCAGGCTGGCAGCAGGCTGAGACCCTGACTGGCAGGAGCCAGCAGCCGAAACCCCAGAGGGGCGGGCGGGCTGAGCTGCTTAGTAGCTGCTCTGGGGTTCCGGCTGCTGGCCCCTTGCCAGCCGGGGTCCCCCCTGCCGCAGCCCCACTCACCTTGCGCAGGCCCCCTGCCAGACAGGGTCCAGGCCTCCAGCCCTGCTCAGCCCTACCAGCCGCAAGCTCCACTCACCTCAGCTGCCAATCTGGGGTTCCAGCCGCTGACCTCCTGCCAGCCAGGTCGGGATCTCCAGCCTTGCTCAGCCTGCTTTCTGGCCTCTGCTCCTGGCCTTGGATCAGTGCTCTGCAGCCTCCCCCCTGTGGCCCACTGTCCCCAGCCTGGGACAGTGAGGGTTGCACACAAGGCAAGAGGGGGTGCAGCTCAGCACCCCCATCTTAAAATTGCTTATATCAGACCACACTGCGTTTGACCTTGTGCCTGCCTTCTATTGCCATTTTTTTCGCCACTGAGAGTTGAAGGGAACATTTGACAAAATGGCAGCTCCTAAGAAAGCGAAGCTAGATGTCCGATCATTTCAGCCTGCTTGGACAGACGCATTTGGATTTATTGAAAAGAAGGATTGTGCTATTTGTGCTTTCTGTTATGGAAGTGTTTGTCGCACATCAAGTGTTCAATGACATTTTGAAACGAAGCACGAGAAAACCTTTCTTGACGAAGCAGACAAGACTGAATCAATCAAAAAGGCAGTAGCAGCCTATGAGAAGCAAAGCAGTGTTTTTAAAAGCTTAAGTGTAAGTAAAAATCAAGCTACAGAAGGAAGTTACAAGATTGCACAGTGCATTGCAAAAAACGGAAAGCCGTTTACAGATGGGGGAATATATAAAAAGTTTTTCTCAGCAGTTCGGAGATTTTGTTCAATGATTTGCCAAATAAAGACACAATCATATCTAGAATAAAAGAACTGCCCATCTCTGCCAGAACAGTTGAGAGACGCATAAGTGAAATGGCAGAAAACATTAAGGAAAAGCAGATGACTGCATTGAAAGACACAGTAGTGTTTAGTGTTGCAGTTGATGAGAGCGTGGATATAAACGACGTTCCACGTTTGGCAGTTGTTGCAAGATACTGTGCTTCCGATGAAATCCAAGAGGAACTTTGTTCATCTCCTTTGCATGGCACAACAAAGGGGGAAGATATACTGGTAAGTTTTGTAAACCATTTTGAAGAATGAGGAGTTGACATCAGAAAAATATAATCAGATGATGCTCCTGCCATGGTCGGAAAACAGAAGGGATTTGTAAAGTTACTTGAAGATCAAATTGGCCATCCGACAGTCAAATTTCACTGTCTCATCCATCAAGAAAACCTGTGTGCTAAAATTTCTAATTCAGAGCTTAATAATGTGATGAATACAGTGGTGCGAATTGTGAATTTCCTTGTTGCTCGATCTGCTTTGACTCACAGACAATTTCAAGCACTGCTAGAAGAGATGGACAGTGCTTATAACGACATCCCACTTCACAACAACATTCGGTGGCTAAGTCGTGGCAAGGTTTTGGTGCGCTTTGTAAACTGTTTTGATGCAATCAAGGCCTTTTTGTCGGAAAAAGAACAAAACTACCCCGAACTGGATGATGACAAACGCTGTGTAAGCTCATGTTTCTAATTGATATCACCGCTAACCTAAATGAACTCAACCTGTGTCTCCAGGGTGCAGGGCAAACTGTTCTGGATCTTTATGAAGCCTGGAAAGCATTAGTTGTGAAACTAGCAGTTTTTTCCTGGGATATTCAAACTTCTACTTTCCGCTACTTCCAACTCATAAAAGAGCTATCGACACATTGCACTGTCAGTGTCGATGAGATTGGAATGTACATGCAAGAACTGAAATCAGAATTTTCTGACAGATTTCAAGATTTCCAGCGATTTGGCCCAATGCTTTCTTTCCTAATTAAACCTGAAAAGTTCAATGAAAGCAACTTGGATTTGTCTGTATTTCAGTGTATGGGTGTTGAAGATTTCGAAATGCAGCTCATTCGGTTAAAAAGCTCAGAATTGTGGACATCAAAGTTTGTGGATCTGCGGAGCGCACTTGAAGCTACCAAGAGAGATCATGGGGCCTCTATTCTGACTTGCTGGACGTCCCTGCCAGTGAAATTTAACTGTTTGAAGAAAATTGTGTTTGCAATGCTTTCAGCATTTGGATCCACATACCTGTGTGAACAGGTATTTTCACACATGAAATCTGTCCTCTGTCCCTCTCGGAGCCGATTAACAAGTGATCACTCAGAAGCCTGTGTGCAGCTTAAAGTATCCAGATACGTGCCAGACATTGGAAAACTCAGCAAAGAAAAGCAAGGGCAAGGATCACACTAAACTGATAAGATCTGCATTTTAATTTAATTTTAAATAAAGCTTCTGAAACATTTTGAAAACCTTGTTTACTTTACATATAACAG